TAAGACTTTGTATTAAAAATGTTAATTAGTCTCAACCCTAAAAATGACATGTTTCTTTTAATTAAAATCTAATTCAAAATCTTAAAACTTACCTATTAAATGTTGATTCTAAAGTTTAGAAACTAAATATTTAATTTAAAATTCAAAAATCCATCATATTAAATATTGATATATATGAATTTAAAAACCAATTATATTAGAATATATAATTAGTTTATAAATCTAGTTATCAATATTTAATATAGTAAAATTTTAAATTTAAATTAAATTTTAATTAAATAAACCCAATTCAAAATTCAAAAGTTTATTATATTAAATGTTGATTTTTAAATTTAAAAATTAATTTGGATTTTTGGTTTTTAAATGTAGGAATCAACATTAAAAATTGAGTTTTAGTTAAATAAACCCAATTTAAAATTTAGAAATTTAGTTTATTAAATAGTGATACTTGAATTTGGAAACTAATTATATTTGTTTCTAAATCCAAGTGTATATCAATATTTAATAGATTAGATTTCTATCTTAGTTTCCAAATTCAAGTGTCAACATTTAATAGATTGGATTTTAAAATTTTGAATTGGATTTTTGATTTTCAAATATAGAAATCAAGATTTAATAAGGTGAATTTCTAAATTTTAAATTAAGTTTTAATTAAATGAATATATATATATGTAAGGTAGATATATTGTCCTCTTAAAATTTTTTTGAAGGACATATTTAAAAACTTATATTCTAATTAATATTTTCAAAAGGTAACTAAATTAAAAGTTTTATTTATATAGATCATAATGTCAATTTTCATATTATTTTAATAGTTATAACTCTTTAATAAACAAAAAACTCTATATACCAACATATATTTAATAGTGTCTAATTTCTTATAAGTGACAAAGTGGTTAAATTTATTAAAATAATTTAAAAATTGATATGCATGATTTATAAAAACTTTCAATCTAACTGTTGGTTTTTAAAAGCTTTAATTAGAAGATGAACTTTTTAAACATGTCTTTCCAAAAAAAAAATTTAGGAGGATGAACTATAAAATACATTATATATATATGATTAATGCATATTAGTCTTGATTTCTAAAAAAAAAAATTAAAGTTCTAATATACATTTGAAAATTGAAATCTCAATTTAAAATTAAAAATATATATTTAAAAATATAATTATACATATAAATTATAAAATTGATTAAATTAATTATATTTATATTATATTTTAATAATTAAATAAAAACAAATAATAAAAAAATATGTTGAAAAAAGTGCAAATCAATCATTTTTTATAATTTTAGATATTAAAAATAAAAAAAAATGTATTCTACAATTTGAATTATATTAGATTACACAATATTTATAAAAATGAATTTTTTTGATATTGGGGATTCTATCTCTATTTAATACTTTTTATTTTACAATTTAATACAATTTATATTACAATAAAAGGCTCTTAAAAATATCAATACAATGTCAAAAATGTTCATAAATAATTT